ATCGGTTATCAGATCCCCTCAATCCGTCTCAAATAGTTAAGGCAAGAGAGTAGAATTTCTGGAAGAAGAAATTATAAACAAGAGAGTGAGAAAGGATTTCAGCTTAAAGAGATTCTTCAAGAGTTGTCAAGTTTCTACCTCGACCCACAAGATGAAACACTGATTCTGCAAGAACAAAACCCCGAAGAAGAACAAACACAAGTAGAAAATGAAGGAAATGAAGTTCCATTAGAGCCGAATGGCTTAGAACAGTTACCAGGAAATTTGGAAGAAAGATGATATCCACTTCGGAACAGGAAACAGAAAGAATTTCCAGAATTTATTACCTACTTAGCCATGCATAAAGATGAAGAGTCAGAACCAGTCCCATATGAAGAAGCAGTGTCAAGCTCCGATAAATCTAAACGGAAAGAAGCTATTAAACAGGAGTTAGAAGCTTTCCAAACAAATAAAGCATGGAAAATAGTAGACAGACCATCAAATAAGCCAGCAGTGAAGTCAAAATGGGTCTTCAAAATTAAACGAGATGCTGAAGGAAATATTGCATATCACAGAGCACATTTAGTGGCGAAAGGTTGTAGCCAAAAAAAGGGAATAGACTATTTTGAAACTTTCGCTCCCATAGTGAAACACTCATCAATGTGTTTGTTATTTGCTTTAGCTGCTAAGCATGATTGGAACACTGACCACCTTGATGTCTGTACCACGTTTTTAAACAGAGATATTGAGGAAGTTATATATATGGAGTTTCCTGAACGATATGATAATAAGGGGGAGTCTAATATAGTTTGCAAGTTAAAAAAATCAGTTTACAGACTAAAACAAGCCGCTAGGTCATGGAATAAGAAAGCAACAGAGGTTCTGAAAAGCCTAGGGTACAAGCAAACTTGTTCTGAACCATGTATTTATACCAACCAAAAGGGTAATTCTGTAATTAATATAGCATTGTATGTTGACGACTTATTCATATTTCATAATGACAATGTTGAAGTTGAGAATGTAAAAAGAAAATTGCAACAATGTTTTAAAGTCAAGGATTTGGGACCGGTTAAGAAATGTCTAGGAATGGAAGTGAACAGAGATAGGGTAAAGGAAACTATAAAGTTAACCCAAACTCAATATTTGAACAATGTTCTTAAGAGATTTTATATTCCTAATGAGACTAAACCAGTTAGTCATCCAATAGAACCAAATATCAAATTTAAACCGTTGCCTAAATCAAATCGATCAAGAATCTAGATGATGTGCCATATCAACAAGCTATAGGTTCAATGATGTATTCTGCTGTATGCAGGCGCCCTGATATATCTTTTGCTATGACTTATTTGAGCCAATTTAACACTTGTTTCACGAGAGAGCACTGGGTTTTGTTAAAAAAGAGTTCTAAAATACCTAAATACTACAAAGGATGTAGGTATTGTATATTCTTAGAATAATGATCAATTGGCAGGTTTTTCCGAAGGAGACTGGGGTGGAAATTTAGATCGTAGATCCTTTAGTGGATCTGTGTTCAAACTATCAGGAGCAACTATCAGTTGGCGATGTAAAAAACAAAGGACTGTAGCTTTGTCAACCACAGAAGCAGAATATATGGTGTTATCAGAGACCGTGAAAGAAGCATTTTCTTGAGAAAATTATGGTTTGAAATATGTAACAAGGAAATCACTGTTCCTATTTCTTGTGATAATCGTGGTGCTTTAGCTAAAGCGAAAAATCCTGTCAATAATGACCGAACAAAACATATTGACATAAGAGTTAATTTTGTAAGAGAGAGGGTTGAATCAAAGGAACTGTCAGTACATTACATTCCTGGAAATCAATTAATTGCTGATGGTTGCTCGAAAGGTTTAAATATACGGAAACATACCGATTTTATTAATTCACTTAGATTGTGCTAAGAATAATGTTTCCATATGATGTTCTAAATAATAATATTTTTTTTATATACTGATTAATGAATAAGTATTTTTTAAACTCCCAAAATTGTTTAAGGGGAAGTGTTATGTTGGCAACTCTCTAATGTTAAAATATAATGCTAGAGTTGGCAACATCATAGTAAACAATTTAAATAATAGACTGTGCTACATGCGCTGTTTCTAATTTCTCTACTGTTATGTGTTACTATGGTTACGTGTGTAAAAACAGAATCTCTCTATTCTTATGTGTGGGAATATATATATAACACCCTTGTGTATCAAAAGTCAGTCTTAATAAAGCAGGGTTAGATTGAACACTGATTCTTACTTATCATTCGATCCACGTGGAAGTAACAAAAATAACAAGCTCCACCTCAAGTGGTATAAGAACGAGCTCTCCATTTCAATTAGGACTAGAGTTACAGGCATTTTAGTGTATTAGAGCATAGGAAAGTTAAGAAATATTTAAAAATGTGATATCTTTCAAATTAATCTGCAAAGGATGGAAATAAGGAATGCTTATATTTCTCATCATACTTTGTAGGCTCATAAAATTTCAATGAAATCAAGGCCGCCATGTCAACCTGTGTGCTGATCTGACATGGAATGACCATTTTAGCACTGAACTTTTCTTTTATTGACAATGCACAAGTAAAATTATCCCCATGACTAAGTTCAACTTCTGAAGCATCTGCCAAGTTGAACCTCAATGAGATTCTATTCAAAGTAATGATACATCTTACACTGCACTATCCTAACCAAACATACCTACAGACAAGCTGGGAGTAAAGTGTGCCAACTAATTATTCATGCTAAATCACACAAGAGTTATTATGCACAATGTTAAGTTAATAGAAACACTGTACCATCTTCCTTGGTTGTCAATTTGTTTTCTAAATATACAACACCATTCCCAATACCTTATGGGTAGTTTTGGCAAACACTGTCTGATGCATTTCACTAACAGTTCAAACAAAGAGTTATTAATATTCAGAAGAGACAATATGTTCCACTTCCTGCCAAGTTTTCAACATAAGATCCCATTCTAACCATTTAATAAGATACCACTGGAACCCATTAAATGACAACAGCAACATCTGTCATTTATCTTTCATACATTAAGTCTATACAATCACATGGAAGAAGAAGAAAATTTATATCACTGTTTTTACTTCCTTTAACATATCAGCAATATCAATGGAGCTCAACTTCAAGTCAGTTTCTACTAATAGTTAATTATTATTTGTAACAAATACTGTTCATTCAACACACTATATATAAAAATATAAATACTGGCACAAAAAATAGCATATATTCTATATACTAGTGCTACCGATGGAAAGTCATGAAGCAGTAACAAATATTCTGTCTTCACTTACAATATATTCTAACAGTATGCATATATATAATTCTAATCAGGTTCATTACTTTTTATTCTTACAAACTTTCTAACCTGAACACAGAAAGAATAATCCCAACAATTCTGTATTTTCTGTACTTTGCTGTCAAAGCTTACTACATAACTTTAATTTACAGGAAGTTCTAACCAGTAGTTCAGTCTTTTAGCACACACAAGAGCACTGTTATTTGTCAAATTATTAAAACATCAATTTTGTATAGAGCTATTAGACTGAATTTCAGCAACCTCATTTCCCCCCCCCCCAATCCCCATATGTGCATATATTTTCTCAAACATACTATAAATAAATAACTTGTTTGTTGTGAATGAGGAACTAATAAATAGTAACATATTTGTTGAAAAGGCATACAATTAAAGCAAGAACATGACATGAGTAACATATACTAAAATGAACCGTACAGTAATTACAGATTTTACTATAAAATGATGTAAGAAACTAAACTCCCACCCATAACAAACCCCTGAATATTATCATAATAAACCTAATTTCTGTGAACACCTAGTATCAACAATCTGTTGTGACTATGTAGGAAAACTGTGACTTGTTTAGGACAAAATAAGTGAACTAAAGGTAACAAGAACTTGTGAATGAACAATGGGACACAAGTGAATTAGACGGGAATTATCAAAGTCAATACTTCAATTTCTGAAACTGATAAAGGTTGCTGTCTTCTGGAATGTGATGCCATGTAGTGTGACAATCATTACCTGGAAACTATACTTCAGTACATCACAGAAGCCAGTAATCTTCATAACCTCAATTTTCGATCAGAAACTACATTTTAATTCCTTCCAAAGTAACTGCAAAATTTCACACCATTTCTACCAATTATTCCATGCTTCTTATTCAGCGAAATTCTGCAAGAAGAGTCTATCAATACTGTCAACTTCTCTGAACTGATATATAACAAGAAATTCATACAGCTGTAATGTTATTCCTTACCTTTCTACTATTCAAGACTATCAAGCTTTCCAGTACATCGGGTCTATATGAAGAGAATGCAATCCACAATTTTTATATTTAAAACTATGCAGTCACATTTGAGATAATGAGATAAAATGCCCTTCAAGGCTCAAATCGTTCTCTGGTCGATTCTTTGGTGGACTTATCACATATTGATATATTATATGTAAAATTGTACACTATGTAAGCAATAACTACTTTTCTCTCAATTAAAAACAAACCATGGGAACGCCACACCATTAGATTTATCTTACAATAGAACAGCGTTTATGCAACGTTAGAACGTTGAAATGAAAACAAATTATAACCAACTATACTTACAAGTGTTGTCACAAAGTCTTCGGATTTTCCAGCAATTAGGAAATGAGAAGCAAAAAGATAATTATGCCGCCGACTTACGTCAGTTACGCCTACCGTTCACATTGTTGTAACCAACACAAGCTCACACATAAAAGAGTAACTGTTTTACTGGCCAGGTAACAAACTTGATCATCACGCTCTTGATATCTTATGTTCACACAATAATAAATTGTTCACATATGACATCTATCAAGCAAGGGCACAGTTGGTATGTACGATCCGTCAAATACTATATAACATGGCGGATAAGGATAGTAGTCACAAGAAAATTTCAAGCACTCTACAACACATTTAATATCAATAACAAAGTAATTGCATTGGCCCAGTTTTATTTGTTTACCTTGTATACTGCACACAGATGGTTTCCTCTATGAGATGAGAATGCTGCCGTAATATTTGCATGTATATTACATCCCTCTTTCACTGACGCCATATTTTACCAAGCACTCGTCACGCAGCACCGCCATTTGTGATTGGTTGAACTGAGGTCTTCAGAATCTGTTCAGAAGCTTTTGGATACATTTATTTTAGTTTGGTGATGTTCGTTCGAGAAGTGCTATGCGTACTATGCCTTGTACTATTTATCTCGATAGTATTATTTACCTCTCATTGCGTGAAATTTCCCAGACGAACCCTGCTAACTGTACCATCTCTCTATTGTCGCTACATTATTGATGCATAAAAAATGTATTCAACTACTTGAAAGTTATAACGAATATTTAATGTGTATTATAAATATTATAAGTTTACCTCATTTAATTGCAATATTACTGTATTATTGTATAGCTACTATGTATTCTAACTTGACTTGTTCCATATCCTATGGTGTCTCACCTGTACTGGATTTACGGAATGTAAATAAATTCAATTCAATTCAATTCCGTAAAAAATACAGACAAGAAAAGCAGACTTCCACACCAAGAGAAAAGAACCTGAAAGCTGAGAAAAGTACTGCTTGCCTTTAATGTTCCTTTCAACGCACACAAATATGGAGAAAGATTTGCCACTTTTTGCTACATTTAACTCTCCACGTATTTATTTCAGTGACCGAATGAAGCATGCATTATCCATATTTACAAGCTAGTTGGCTACATATGATTTCATTTTAATGCGATCACAATATTAAAACCCATTTCAAGTAATAGCACTCTCTTTAAAGCGAAATGTTTGCAAGACGCGAAGTACGGGCGGAGCGAAGGGAGAGCAGAGTATTGTACAAAAGGTTGTGGAAGAAGAATTATAGTAGGGTTGAGGGGAAAGTCAAGCATAACCGCGCAACCACTTCTGCTGATTGTTGCGTGAGAAATCAGAGACTGGTAAGTAACTGAAAATAGATTTTATATTTTTAAAGAAGTCACTGCCAGCAAATCCACCACCTACTTCTGGTGACATTTTACCATATCTTCAATGGTCATAAAAGGAGAACTCAATATTGCTGATTTTTTTTTTCAGCCAAATCAATCCCTTCGTCTTCCATCGAAATCACCTGCTTCATTGTGGCCTTCAAACATCTGACCGCACAACGTAATGAGTCATCCATCAACCAAGTTAAGTCCTCTACCTTTGGACCAATAAGCGTTAATTTTTATTATTTCTGTGTCATTAACACAGACTCTTCCTCTTATAGAATAAATGTCTGGGAACCTCCCACATTCTAACACAGAACTTCACCAGTCTGACAGACAAAAGACAACTCCAGCGCAGTGTGGCTGGCCTTTGCTCGTATCGGCTTGGAGAAACCGGCGCTTTCCTTATTGTTCCGTAATCGCTGTGTTTACAGATATCGGTGGCTCAACAATTCTTGCATGTCGTAAATACGCCACAATATGATCCAGAATTTAGATGTGGGCAGTGCAGGGTTGTACAGCCAGTTGTCTTTTACGTTGTACATTAGCATTTAATTGCTTAGCTACACCTACTCGTAGACACAATAGATCAATGTGATCACGGTGCAAGGACCAAGAAGCCCCATCCCTAATACATTATTCATTACACCTACTATGATCTGTGATAGTAAACGATACTTCACTATCATAACATCTTAACTATTCCTTGATGTTTAGTAATCCGTGGGAAGAAGAATGTGTGCGGTTTATGTTGTTAGCGTTGCTTTGGGAGTTTCTGGTGTAATATTATACATAAGTGAACATTTTAGAAATATCTTACGTTAAGAACACAGAGGCATGGGTTGCAATGAAAGAAGAACATGAAAGAACTCCCCTGAGAACAATTTTACAGAATTTCCTAAACCATATTGAGAGTTTGGAAATCCAGAGAATAGAGGATAGTTATGAGAAGGAATTTCAGGTGCTGCTATTATTTAGGAGAAAGTCGAAGAATTTCTGCAATACTTAGCCTCATTAAATAATAATTCCATGTTTGATACATTCCACAATATTTTGTATGTTATTGACCAGTTTAATCGTCTTGTGCATATTAGTGACTGAAGGATGTGTTTTAATACAAGTTTTAAAATTTAAAAACGAATTCTTTATTAATCGTGTGGTCTACTACTGTGGTGTCCGTATGGCCAATGGGCCGTCTTATTCGTGATATAATTTAAATACATAGTAGTACACATGAACACTTAATTTAGAAGTCCATTAGTGTTAGCTGCATGTAATTCATGAAACAAGAATGGAACTGCAGACTTCATTGCTGCATTGCTTGTACCGAAGAGAACGGTATACAGTCGCATGTTGTTCAATACCGTATGTCAGCCTTTTTAATTATATTCCTTCAATTTGCAAAGTTATGTGCTGGATTTGTATCTGATGCATCCACAGGTCATCCATAAAGCATTAGTATGCTACTCATCTAGGCACAGGATATGTGAAGATCATGAAACATGGATGGTCATCACTTTCTGAGAAAGTGGTTGACTTCATAAATGTGTTTGATTGGCATTCCTGTACGTCCACCTGGAGGCCAGCACATAAACTTGCTATACCAAATTGCGCTGTTCATAAGATATTTCACAGATGCCTGTGTTTACATGGATACAAGCTCCAGTTGGTAAGGCCTTGGAGCCAGATGTTAGCCAAATTGAAAATGGTTTGCAGCGGCACTCCATGATTGCATTGATAGAAATAAAGAGTATTTCTGCAGAGTGTTGTTCTTAGATAAGTTGACTCTCCATATTAATGGCCAGGTAGTAGGCACAATTTTAGTAGCTTGAGGTTGAATGGTGTTAACTGCAATTAGAAGAATTGCAACAAACTGTTATATTCTAGCAAGACAGTACCCAACTAAACAGTGCCTTCCTGAACCAACTGGATTAGACAGGATACACAAACATCTTGGCCACCTTAATCGCCCATTATAGGATTAGTGTGAAACCTCAGGAGCTGATTTGCAGATCCTGAAAACTCAAATAAGTAATATGGTTACTTGTCAAACATTTGTTATGTTAGAGAACACTTGACAGGAATTAGAATATTTCCTGTGTAACAGATGTGCCCAATATGGAAGTATACATGTAATAAACTTCATGAATTATTCTTTTTGATCATTTGTTCCATCATAGTAGTATGAACCGCATAATATAAACAGCACACATAAACCATTGGGTCCTGACAGCATGAAAGAAGAGGGATATATTCTCTAGGAAAATGGTAACATTATGATACTAACATGGCAAGCCACTGCAGCAAACAGTAGAAGTCTATGTGTGGTCTACTGCAGTAACAAACAAAGCTACTCACAGCTTATAACATTTCAAAAGATTATTTGAAAATAATTTTTGAATATCAAAATTGGTGGATGTAGGATCATGTGATTGTTAAATTAGGTTTAATCTATTGTGTATATGAGTAGTATGTACAATTTTCATTCTTATTGTATATTATTTTATTCTTAATTTTAACCAGTGTCTAGTCTAGATTTGTGAATTAAATAGAAACTAACTTGTACAAACCATTTATAAAAATAGGAATGTTAGCGTTAGGTAATACAGTAAAACTTGGTTATAGCAACATCGGTTTCTGCGACACCTTGTCTATTGCGTCAAATATTCAATGGTACGAACTAATTCCTCATAAAGCAACTGTTTTTATACCTTGCTTAGTACGACATGCACAAATGCATCAACCTCGTATGTAACGTCATTTTCATTCCTGAATTTCTCTGATATCGTGGGAAAGTTCGATGTGTCTGCCCACCCTCACTTTCTCTACTTGCTGACGTGACTGTCCTGGAAGAATACGACCGCGGGCTGCAAGAGGAGCGTGGGTTTTATGCGAAAACAAGGGTGTGGGGTGGGACTGCATGAATAGTGCAAGAGGACGCGGCAGGTTGTTAACTGCATTCCTTTCCTAGAATCTCATCTAACAGGACCTCACATTGTCTACTTACCCTATAGTGTTCCTGCCTAAACCCAGAGAAGTGCAGTAGCGAAAACGTGGCAATGAAAAGGAAAGTTTTAAGCATTGAAGAGAAAGTTAAAGTGATTCGTGAAATAGAAAATGGAAGGAAAAAAGCTGATGTATGCCGCGAATTTGGTTTGGTGAATTCTACAGTACAAACGATATGGAGAATCCATATTAATTCCACGTTAATGCTACGTTAGTCTGTACTTAACTACGTATTTCATTAAAAAATGCAACATTTTAACTTGGTTTTTGGTAGATTTTTAAGTGACTAACATAAGGCTACTGTGGAAGTGCCCATTTCGGTTACAACGACATTCGTTTATAACGACACTATTTTTAGGTCCCTTTGATGACGTTATAACCAAGTTCTACTGTAGTATGTAAGAGACTGGCAGCACCTGAAGTTGACCTGTTTGAAAGTCGAAGCATGTAGTGGGTGCTATATAAATAATAAAGTATTGTTGCGTTGGTGGTAAAAATTGCATATGTTCATTGTATGTACGTGACAGGATGCAGTCCTCAAAAATTGGCTTTCTGAAGCTGTATTTCTTAATGTCTGCATGGAATTCACTGTACTAAAGCTGTATTATGGTGGAGCTGTAGAGGAAGAACAGTTTCTAACATTTAACAAGTCTGTTAAATTTATATTTAGAAGTCATCAGTGATGTTCTTTATTCCTTGGACACTTTGTCATTTGGAAAGGAAATGTAGCATCAGATGGGATGACTGAAAGTGATTAGTTAGGAAGGATCGTGAGGAAAGCAGTCTGTTGTGTGTCATATGAAAGGTATATAATGGGACAGTCTGAAAGAGATAAAATAGACACAACTGTGTCATCATTTGTTTTTATTGGCTGTTGGTGTTATACTACATGTTTCAACCCTTTTCTTGGGTCATCTTCAGGCATACAAGAATACTGGTACTAGTTCTTGAATTGCCTCATTGATCGATATGAATTCATATTGTGTTTGTATGGATTTTTATACTAACAAATACACTTGAATTTCAATGTGGTTCAAATATACATAGTTAAAACTTGATAGTCTGTCTGCAGACAAAACTGCTACAGCACAGTAATGTCACTATGGGGAACTGTAGATACGTGTATACTTACTCATGGAGCTGAACCATTCTTGAGGAGAAGCCAAATTTGCAGCTACTGAAGAATTTCCCAGAATTTTATGGAACCCGAAGGTTCATTACCGTGTTCATAAGAGCCCTCCACTGGTCCCTATCCTGAGCCAGATCAATCCAAGCCATACCATCCCATCCTATCTTTCTAAGATCCATTTTAATATTGTCCACCCACCTCCGCCTTCCCAGTGGTCTCTTTCCTTCTAGTTTTCCCACCAATATCCTATATGCATTCATCTTCCCCATTCATGCTACATGCCCTGCCCACCTCATCCTCCTTGACTTGATCATTCTAATTATACTTGGAGAAGAGTACAAGTTATAAAGCTCCTCATTATGCAGTTTTTTCCAACCTCCTGTCACTTCATCCCTCTTCGATCCAAACAATATATATACACACATCATCAAATTTGAATATCCAAGTCCACATATAAACAACTGAGTGTTATACCCAGAATAACAAGTATAGCCTTCAGAAGATAATAGGAAGGTCGAAAACCAACACAACCCAGGTTTTGGGGAAAGATCTCAGCACGCAGTTATCCCACATCATGACTATCACTACCATAGTGGAACCACCAACACCACATACATGGATATGGAGCGGTCACAAAATCTTAAATAAGACTTATAATATTAGTTATAAATACCTTTCCGTATTCCGTATTGAGGGGGTGGGTTTCCCCATGCACTTAGACCGGTTACTGGTCCATTGTGCGTCCCCCTTTAATTTCTACTGTCTCTATACCCTACTGGTACTGGTGCTTACTATCAGCCCCTTTCTGCCAGTGAGGTTCCAACCTCTTACTGGCAGTGGTATCTAATAGTTAGTCCCTTTCTGTCAGCGAGGTCGTCCCTCCTCTGGCAGGGTTTCCTAGTCCCTTTCTGCTAGCAAGGTTTCTACCCTCTACTTGGCAGTGGTATCTAATACTTTAGTCCCTTTCTGTCAGAGAGGTCCCCCCTCCTCTGGCAGTGGTACCTGATACTTCCCCCATCTACTGGAGGAATTGGAAACTAGTTGGGCGGGAAACTTGGCCTAATTTTGCTCAGAGGTCTCCTGGAGACATGAGGTTCTTTTACGTGCCGTAAATCTACGACACGGGACCCACGGCTTAAAGACCCTCCCGGAAGACTTGTTCCCTGAATTTTTCCGCCCTTAAAAATTCGACGACCTCCGCCGGGTATTTGAACCCGCGTACTACGAGTCATGAGGTGGGAACGTTACCTCTAGACTACGGAGGCCGCTTATAAGTACCTTAATCACCATTTTATTTCAGTTGTCAAAGTTTCATGATCCTGACCCCCCTCCAAGTGCTCAGTCTACTCACAAAAGTGTGGGACCATTCTGGAAAGATTACAAGCACAAAATTGTGGCCACTAGTATGAAGAGAGTGATTATGAGTTATGAGGTGGCTGAGTGCAGTTGTGGGTAGATGAAAGTGCATGCTGTGAAATGAAAGCAGTGCGTTCAGTGTTTGCAATGTAGGATGCAAGTTAATGAGTGCCAGAAGACCGAGCAGTGGCATAAAGTGAAATAGTGATGGCTTAGATAAACTGTGAAGATTGTATGTGTGGATAATTTCAAACTGAAAATAAGTGTTTGAAAACAAGATGAATGTTACAGTGCATTTGGAACAAAACTTGCATGGGAGATTTTGTTTAACCCACAGGACTTTTCTACCCTAAGATTGTTTACTGAAACAGGGAAATTTGAATAAGACTCGGGAGTAAAATGCGCATCGGATATAAATAATGAAATATTTGTCTTTGGATCGCGAAGACTGATTTTTTATGTTCATTATTTGTCAAACATTTCTTAAATATAAGCCATCCTGAGGCTAATCATACACAGTGCACTAAATGTAATAAATTAATACTAGAACCGTCAAAGAAATGAATGAAATTAAAATTCTAATGTAATCTAACACATCCCGTATATTTGTATGGAAACATCTAATTTTTATGCTTGGCATGCTAAAATCAACACCCAATAAAACACATTTTACTTCTGTTTAGAGAATACATTATACATACACTCAACTCTCGATTATCTGGGATAATGGTGGGGATGGAAATGACGATTAATCGAAAATCCGGCTAAGACAAATTTTATTAAAAGTAGTACTGTAATACTGTACCTTCATAATACTATAGGCCTAACACTTAAAAAAATTTAATATTGTCATATGCTTTTTCGCTGCATTTTCCTTTTTACATATATCCGTACGAAGCCTACGTAATATTAGCTTGTCACTTAATAAACTGTTTTCTTCACTCTCAAGATAGTCTAGTAAGGATTCCAAACGATTAAGAGCAGCACCATGTGATATTTTCTTACTAGTAGCAGTGTCAACCTCTTCCTCATCCTCACTTTTGTTTTTTCAAATCACGAACAGTTTGTTCTCCAATACCTTATTGCATTGCTAATTGTTTAACTACACCTCCTTTTCCCAACTGATTGATAATTTCAAGTTTCTGTTGAATACTTAACACAACACACTTCCTTTTACACCCTGACATTTTGCAAACACACTTGAAGATCGATACAAAGAGACTAACTGGGGTGGCGTATCTGTCCTTGAAAGTTTCCACAAAGCCTTGCATTCTTTCACCCCTACCCTAGAACATTGTGTTAGCATAACAGGACCAAAAAATGAAGAGCTCGGTTCACACTCGTGCGAAAATAGTGTTACAACTCACCATGTGAAACAAAAGTGAATGAATATTAAACAACATATAAGCCTCAAAAAAGCCCCAGTTAAGCCACAAACCGGTTTATCCGCCCCCAGATAATCGAGAGTTGAGTGTATTATATATATTTTTGCATCACCACATGCATACATCTACACATGTGGTATCATGCCTCGTGCAACTATGACTCAGTATTCCATTTAAAATAAAAATGAATGAATAAATCTATCGTGGATCAAGAAAAAAGGTTCAGGGTGCAACCTTTCTGTTTCTCAGATGTATAGGAAATTCAGTAGAGTTACCCTTCCATATTTTCAGTTGTCTTTTCAACCATATTTTATCACAAATTTTCTCTGAAAAGCATTCTGTGGTACATCTTCACAAACATCCCACAGTTTCTCAGCATTTAACTCTTACAGACCCTGTGTCAGAGTCTATGATTTGCTCTTGTGCCAGGAACTTCTTACAAGTATGTATATATTACAGTCTCAATGCAAGTTTTATTTCTGTCTTTCGTGTATGTCCTATCTTACTACTGTGACGTGTTTAGGTCTTATACAGCCATCATCAGGTATATGTCTTCTTCCTAAAACTGTTTCGGTGCATGTAAAATTGCATCACATGTTAATGCAATGTTAATTTAAAACCACTCTTTGTTCTTAACCACTAAAATTGTATAAATATTTGTTGAAATGAGGAATCCATTATGCTGCATTCAGTTGTCTCAGCATGGGTACTTGTATGCTTTTTATATGCTGGTTGTATAGGTGTTGTATACTGTTACTGCATGCATATTGCGTGTACTGTGGTGGTATGTACACGCACTGTTTATGTTGTTAAGCTGTCATGTGTGGACATGTGATATGCAGTGAAACAGTGGTAGCCAGAAGAAATGTACCTGATGGCTGTATATGGCCAAAACATGTCATAGTAGTGAGATAGGACATGTAGTAAAAACAGAAATAAAAGCTGCATTGAGACTGTAATGTACACACACACACACACACACACAGTTTTCCTAAAAGAAAGGTAAGTGATGATAGCATTCTAAGTGAAATTTAAATGTGTGAACAGAGAAAAGAACAATACATTATTCATTAGAAGACTGATTTGTTGCCTAATTCTTGATCATCTCAGGACCATATTCTTTGTGATATGGAAATATGACTGTTTAGTCAGAAAGTTTGTTCTTTGAGTAACTTCTTGGTACATGACATCGGAAATGTAAGAAAAAATCTAAATTTTTTTTCTTGGGACAAGGACTGTGACTGATAATGAAGGGATTACAACACTGCTGTAAAGAATTGAGTTCTTTGACACTTGTAGCACATAGAAACAATAACATTGACCTTTACCAAACCACTACAGAATTTGCCAGACAAGAAAATATAACTTAATTCTAGTGGCATCATGTACACTACTGAGTGTGTCATGGTGCCCTGCAGCATGTCTGTACAGGTCACAGTGTGACTTAACATGTCTTGTAAGACCACAAACAGACGAATTAATATTTTCTTATCACTTTTATGTGCCAACATGATACTTTCCAAAGATGTATTGAAAAGATCATTAAGTATTTTTGGAAAAACTTGGAACAGTTTGGTTATACATTTTTTCATCAGAGACAAGGTCAAAATGCAAATGTGCCCTACAATAGAGGTCGAGGCCACGTTTTCCCCTTTTTTTTATTACAGTCAGTCAGGAATCTATATGTTGTTAGTCTGTTATGCTTTTCATTGTACCTCAACGCAATGAAAAGAATAACAACAGCCTAACAACATACAGATCCCTAACCAACTCTAATAAAAAAAAGAGGGGGAAAACATGGCCCAGACCTCTGAAGGACGGCAATATCTTCCCCAGTCTCCCATTGATAGAAGAGACATGAAGACATGAACCTTAATGGTTTAAGATTGTAAATATTAAGAATTTTAACAATTTGTCTCTATTAAAATCTTTATATAAAGTTTGACTCAATTTGATGTACTATGACCAAAGTAATGGTAGTTTCCTCAACATGTGAATTCTGAGGATGGTCATTTACTGACCGAAACATGTAAAGGTATCATATATATATATATATATATATACAATTTGAGTTATACTGGATGGTGTCAAATCATTCAGTAATATCTAACTAGTGTGACAGACCAGATTGAATAAAGTTAAACTTACCAGAATTGTCTTATATCACACTAATTAAACCCAAGAGCATGAATTAGTTAATGTGAGGTAATCAATTTTGCATAGAATTTTTGAGCTCTGGTATCACTTGTCAGTAAGGAAAGCAGTTAAGATACATATATGAGAATCACAGTCATAGCTTACACATTTATTTAGCTTGCATGATACACTTTTCTTTAAGGTTCAGAATACAGCATATCCTTTATACTGCCACACATGCCTGCTGTTAGTCACCATTGCTAAAACCAGCCTTTACTTTTTGACCATTTTAAGTGCTGATGCTGTAGAAAACTGCGCCTTGTCTACCGAGTTTGTCATTCCTTCAGGATTATTTTCATGCTTGACATGGTCCAGTGATCAGGATGGTTGAAAAACAGCAGGAAGTGTATTCCTTGCTAGATAGTGAAAATAAATTTTAAGAGCACTGTTGAGACATGAAACAAAAGTCTGCTGGACATTGTTGTGAGCATTCCAGTGGATATCGAGTAGCCATCAAAAATGTTTCAGCAAGTGCTTGTTGACAGTATGATAAACAGTCTACATGGAAGTTTTGCTTTTGTGAAGATCTCTGATCTGGAAATTGAAATGTCAAAATGTGAATCGTGAAAATACCATCATATAATAACCGTTGAGCACGTTTATGCCCGTATCAGCTTGGTCAAATAACTCTGTTGATCAAGGCATGTCTTATGTATTAGTTTTCTTCTGACAAAGCCTGTGTGCATGTGCGCACCCACACAATTCATGATATCCTGAAGTGTGGAATTGTAAGTGCCATGCAGAATACTAATGATTTTTGGTTGTTTGTCATTGTCCTACAAGTCGTATTTCAGGTTCTAAATGTAGCCTTCATTGTTCTCAGTGTGAACTTTTGTCAGCTTGCCTAGAAAAGGAGCTTTCTTCACTGAGTAGTGTCCTGGAAGCATCTGAATTTCCTATATTCATATCTCATTTAAGTGTATTTGTAGCCAGAAGTTTGCTTCCTGTTCCAGGCTAGGGCAGAAATGTTTCCTGTCCACATAAATCTAATTATTTATACATGCTTATTGCTAAAAAGGCACACGCCTCAATAAAAGGCAAATGCTGTCACATCTAAATATTTACCAAATTTCTGTCATTACAGAACTTTTATGGAAAATTAATATTGTGTAAGAAATTTGTATAAGAGATTGTTAGGTGATCGGTTTAGAAGACACACGGTTCTAAATTACTATACACCTTGTGCTATAAGAAGATGATACATTTGCCATTTTTTAAATATTTATGTCTAATTAATAAATAAATTATCTGGTCCAGAAGATGTTTACAGAGTAATACAAGAATACAAGCAATACAAGAATAAACAATGAAAATATTGATGGAAATCAATGATTAAGTGAAGAAAATCTTGTTCGGTCACTTGTTCTATGCTGAAGGAGTATGTTAATGGTGTAGTCCTACAGTTTTTGGTAAAGTGGCTATACTTTTTCTTTTAGGAATTAAAATTCTTCAGTGAAATTTTGAAGACCTTGAAACAATATTCTTGCTCGGAAGGTGAGAAGGAAGTAAACCGGAAGAAAAATCGCTATAAAGACATTCTCCCTTGTAAGTGTTCTGGTATCATTGGAACATACTGGTAGTCCTTAAGGAGGGAAGATATCAGATTATATGCATAGACCAGCTGTCCTAACTGGAGTTATTTGTAGAATCAACTTTCAAGACTGATACAATACAAGGTTTTTCAGGAAATTACTTGTGTTTTTGTATAGTGGTACTGGGACACGTAAGGGTTTGCTTGATGCTATATTCATGACTTATCATGTACTGTAAAAATGTACTAACTAGTTTTCTGGACTGTTTATGCATAATATGTTTATTATCTGTCACTATAACAGAATTTCTGTAATTCGCTATATGTCTCATTAGGTATTTTTTAACAAGAGAAGTATATTTTATGCAGCCATGATGTTTATTTTACATTCAGGACAGGAATGGTCTCAGCATACATAGCAAAATTTCAGGGTTCTGCATTCAGTGGTTTCAACACAGCTTCCACCTCAAACATTTGCATGCCTACAGTCTTAGTATCATTGATGATTAGGCATTAAGAATACATGCATGTGAGTTGTCTTGGTTCTGGCATCCTGAGAAGCAGTGTTCTGAAGCACTTTTCAATGAACATGCATTTGTTTCAGTTGACAGCAGCCGGGTCATTTTGAGTGAATATGCTGGGGTGCCAGGCAGTGACTACATCAATGCCAACTACATCAAAGGGGCTAGTGGATCCCCGGCATACATTGCGTGTCAGGGGCCACTGCCTCACACTGTTAATGACTTTTGGCGAATGGTGGTGGAATGTGAGGTGCAAGTCATTGTTATGGCGTGTAATGAAGAAGAAGCTGGGAAGGTGATTATTTATTTAAAACTGAATTCAAAATTATTTTTAAGAAGTGACAGGGGTATCTGTTTACTCAGTTTAACTTTTGAAGGAAAGAAGTTTGAGTAAATGTAAGTTTGATTAAATATAGTGTTGTGTGTGACCATACTAAAGTTGCTCAATAGAATATGATTTTGATTCAGATAGGTGCAAATTTTCATCATGGCATGCATATACATGTAGGTATATTTTTGAAAACTGAAACAGTTTAAATTTTTAAAGTATTTTCATTTTCCATTCATATTCCTCTAAAAATGTGTATTATGCTATGAAGATTTTACACAAATATATCAGGTTAGTATGTAAAATTTAGTTAACTAGGTGCATATTTGTAATCAGTGTAATTAAATCAAAGTGTTCATTGTTACTAACAAAATAAGCACTTCTAAATCAATAACTTGTCATTTCTGAAGACAGGATGGAACACAGTGGTACAGGCAGTTTAAAGAAAAATAGAAAGTACATGAACAGCATAAATCTGACATATTTTTGTATGTATTAAAGGCATTACAATTATGAGGTAATAGTATAGCTGATGTTTGCATAATACAGTGAAAGAAACACTGATTATGAGAAGCACATTTTAAGGCAATGTACATGAAACACTGCTGATACAATTTAATTTATTCAAAGTGATAATTGCCATTTAAACATAACTTTAAATAAGAGAAAGCTAATTTATGGTTTATTTTTGTAGCATAAATGTGAAAATTACTGGGTGGAACGAGAAGGTGAAGAGAAGCAGTTTGGTATGGTCACCATACGCTTGGTGAAAGCTAGTACTGTATGTCCAGACTTCCTTGTACGTACTATGCGCCTCAAGTACACTAGCAGTCAATTGCCTCATGGTAAGTGTATATGTACATACACATGCACACACATATTGGCTGGTGCTTAATTAAGTGCAGGGACATATTTATCATTATTCTCCCTGTGATACATACAGTAAAATATGTATAGAATATAAGCCTGTATTTATGGGAAACTTCTTAACAATCCCAAGAACAACAAATGGAAATTGTTTGGCATGAAAATGGAAATGGAAAATAATTAACTTATTTTTATTATATTGTCACATATAGGGAGACTTACTTACTCATGGAGCTGAGCCCTTCTGGAGGAGCTGCCAATTCTGCAGCTACTCAAGAATTTCCCAGCATTTTATGGAACCCAAAGGTTCATTACCATGTTCGCAAGAGCCCTCCACTGGTCCCTATCCTGAGCCAGATCAATCCAACCAATGTCATCCCATCCTATCTATCTAAGATCCATTTTAATATTGCCCACCCACCTACGCCTTGGTCTTTCCAGTGGTCTCTTTCCTTCTGGCTTTCCCACCAATATCCTATATGCATTTGTCTCCCCCATTCATGCTACATGCCCTGCCCACCTCATCTTCCTTGACTTGATCATTCTAATTATACTTGGAGGAGAGTACAAGTTATGAAGCTCCTCATTATGCATTTTTCTCCAACCTCCTGTCACTTCATCTCTCTTCGGTCCATATAACAAAAATAATGGGTTCTAGATCAGATGATTGGATTTACTGGTACTTCAGTTACAAGTTCTCTTAATCACACTCAATTATAATGCCGTCGCTATTTTATGCACTTTCAGTTGATCATTGCACATGCACTAGGATTCTGCATCTTCAATATTCATCTCCTAACAATAGATCTCAACACAGAAACATAGCAATTCAGATCACTGTGAAGTCTTCTTGTCATTTCATCTTCAATCACTCTGTCCTAATCTGTGCTCTCAGCTATTCCTAGTTTCTACTGCCACTAGTTATTCTGGGAATCTCATATAGCCGCAGCATGGACCACATAGAAAACACAATTTTACCACTGCATTTTGCAGACCACATAGAAAACACAAGTCATCTCATCATTACTCAGCTAGTTCATTGGTGCACTGACTGATGCTATGACAACGAGCTATGACATTCGTCCATTGAGATATAGTTTCAACTGTTGCACATTGGAATGTGTTTACCAAGCTGTAGACTAGAAACAGTTTGCATAACCCCATTGTTCTATTGTTGCATGCATGTATTTGTTAGCAACAGCTGTTTCTGTGACTCAGCAGTTTTTGCATGCGGCAAATACACCACAGTATGTTCATGTAATTTTATTCCATGTTACGCTTCCTGGAAATTACCTCTGATGGTGCATTCATTTCACATATGGGAAAGAATTAAGCTTGATCATTAATTCAGTAGATGCAGAATGCTTTCATGCACTGCCTTGAAAATAAAAAAGGAAGAAAAGGAAGTTGAAAATGTTTACTGCTCAATAACAGTGTAATCTACATATGCAGCATGTATTTATGGCTCTTATAGATACAGGGTGAGGCATAGAAACTTCCTTTTTTTGAAGGCAAATAAAAGAAAAATTATTGCTGGTAGACAAAATTTATGTTTAGCTAATGAAAGAACATGCTTTTAAAGTTTTAAATCATGTAGTTTTAAACAAAATATCTTGAAGGTGGTGGCCACTGTTCTCTATGCACTGATGCAACCGTTTTCTGAAGTTCCCCTCTGCACGTTCCAGCATGTGCACTAGAATTTGGGCTACTTCCTGCCAAATAACATTCTTCAGCTGAAGCAGGTTTGTGGGGCGATGTTTAGAAACTTCTGCCTTAAGGTATCCCCATAAAAGAAAATCACAGGGCGTTAGATCAGGTGAGTGCGCTGCCCACGGGATGTCACCTCGAAGCGAGATGAGCTGTCCAGGGAACTTTGCCCTCAAAACTGTCATTGAAACTTGGGCTGTGTGGGCCGTGGCACAATCCTGTTGGAACCAGACATTTCCTAGATGCATTTCTTCAAGAGCTGGTTTGAAAAAGTTTTTAATCATGTCCACATACCGCTGTGAATTGACAGTAACTGTATGATTGTCTTCTTCAAAAAAATAATGGCCAGTAATTCCAACTCTCAACAATGCACACCATACTGTCACCTTATCACTGTGAAGTGGCCTCTCATGGAGCTCTCTGGGATTGTTACCACTCCAATAGCGCATATTCTGCTTGTTGACATATCCAGATAGGTGAAAATGTGCCTCATCACTAAAGAAAACAAGTGCATCAGGAGAGTAAAGTTTCCAATAACGTTTCAAACGCCGTTATTCGGTTCTGGAAATCACATGGTGACAATTCTTGCACAACAACCATCTTATAGGGATGGAAATGAAGATGTTCATGAAGAATTCGGTGCATTGAATGATTGGATATGTCTAGGGCGACTGTATGTTTGCAAGCGGAGTGTCTTGGAGATCTCAAAATCGACTGTCGAATTGCCTCCACATTTTTTGGCATCGTAACGGTCCGTTGTCATCCTGATGAGTTTTTCACCACACTCCCGATTGTCCTAAAGTTCTCTACCCACAAAACAATCGATTTCCGGTCGGGAATCGGACCTCTGAGCTTAATTCCGAAGTGAGTACAGAACGCACGCTGCACCGCCACGTAGGAATGGTTGTTTGAAAAATAGGCTTCGACAGCAAATGCACGCTGCTCACTCGTCCACCTCATGTTTCCTACTGAGGGGTATTATACAGAAACTTCCGCGACTGCTGCATTCATCGAGCCTATCCCCACTTTTCTGCAACTTCCCGTCCCTTCACAATGCATCTTCACAACAAGGAAGTTTCTGCGCCCCACCCTGTATATATATACAGTAAAACTTGGTTACAGCAACATCGGTTTCTGCGACACCTTGTCTATTGCGTCAAATATTCAATGGTACGAACTAATTCCTCATAAAGCAGCTGTTTTTATACCTTGCTTAGTACGACATGCACAAATGCATCAACCTCGTATGTAACGTCATTTTCATTCCTGAATTTCTCTGATATCATGGGAAAGTTTGATGTGTCTGCCCACCCTCACTTTCTCTACTTGCTGATGTGACTGTTCTGGAAGAATATGACCACGGGCTGCAGGAGGAGCGTGGGTTTTATGCGAAAACAAGGATGTGGGGTGGGACTGCGTGAATAGTGCAAGAGGACACGGCAGGTTGTTAACTGCATTCCTTTCCTAGAATCTCGTCTAACAGGACCTCACATTGTCTACTTACCCTATAGTGTTCCTGCCTAAACCGAGAGAAGTGCA